ATATGCCGCCGTTATGCCGCCGATTTCTCATACAACATCTGATTTTCTGAATTGATGATTTGAATGATTGAATATGCATACGAATGTGAATATATGATTGAATTATTGTTCTTGTTACTGAAAGGCAAGTGAAGACTGGTTGAACCGTTGGTTGGAGATTGACTTGACCTGTACAGGATGGTGGGCCGACGGGCTTTCCTTTAAAAAGGGTTTGACGATATCCTCTATTGATCATTGATATAACGATTGGGAGTCATAAGGAGATTATTATGCCGACGGGCGACCGACGGGCACAGAGTGACGACTCTTATTGAGCCAACAGATATAACGACACAACGATACATCGATACCGAAAAATACCTTAATAGCTAGTGATTGTACTTGTTCAGTAAGACTACTGTACTGAATTGCATCTGTACGGTATTGACCTATTGATCTCATTATGGATTCATGGATTTATTGATATCAACGGATTTGTATTGAAATTTATTGACGGATTTACAGATTTATTGTTACTGTATGATTTCATTGATATTCACATTATATCACTGAGCATTGATACTGATACTGATATGGATATCGATATTGCATTGACTTATTGATACTATGGACATGGATACTATTGATTTATTGATACTGATTCATTGATACTATCGCTTCATTGATACATTGCATTGAACTGCTGCATGTGATTCATTGATCAATACGAAATAGGTTTTACCGTATTAATTTGTTTTCAATCGTTCTTACGATGTATTGGTTTAATTGCTTTATATGATTTCTTACTGATTGATAATATTGACCAAATATGATTGATTTGATATTGATTTAATTGATTTAACTAATATCGAGACGATTATTTTCCTCTATCGATTTGATCGAGATTTCATTGGATCCTTACTAGATTTATCGTATGTACTGATTTATTGAGCTTTACGGATTTCTTCCTGCTATTTAACGATTCTTCTACTGCTGACTACAGATTTTATTGATTGTGCATTGACTACTGATTTCCGTATCTGCATTGATTCACCGATCATGTGCAACTGACTGTTATAGATTCGACTGATTGACATGCATATTGCTTCCGTACCGTGCTTTGATTTCAGTTGTAGGTTTTTGGTGACCTGCTGGGCTTTTTGAAGCTCATTATATATGGTTAACAATTTCAGGTCCGAGCAAGGGAGCAGGAATGGAGATTTATCAGGACTGTCGACGAATCCTTTCACTATGAATGCCTGGGGCGTCACACCATCTATCTCGGATAATGAAATGTCTCAAATGTAAGAAGAAAG